TAGTCGAAATGTAAATTTGCCCAAGTGTCAATTAGTCGAAATGTCAATTTACCGAAAAGTCAATAAGTCGAAATGTCAATTTGCCGAAATGCCAATTAGTCGAAATTAACCTAACCTAACCTAACCTGACCCGTAAGTATTAACTTTAGGACCGACTCGCTTTTCAAAGCTAGAAACCCACTTACATGTCACCAAAGTATAAGAAAAACATAACTAAACCTTACCTTACCTGACCTACTGATTTTTGCCTACCCGTGGATAAGGAAGAAGATACATTAATAGAATGCAGACAATGATAAGTCAATTATTTTTAGGTTAAGTGGTTGTGCATCAGGCTTCAGGCCTTCGGCCTGAAGCCAGATACACAACAATTTAACCCTCACCGGACCTATTGGTTTTCTACATACGCGCCGGCCGAGGTGGTAATTGCTGAAAGGCGATTTGCCGAATGCATTTCGCCGAATGTCATTTTGCCGATGTGCTTTTTGCCGACCTGTCAAAAAGTCGAAATGCCATTTGCCGAAATGCTGATTAGTCGTTTCGCCCCTGATGGAGCTGGCGCGTCGCGGAAAAAACGAGCGTGTGCGCCGTTACGAGACGCAGAGATTGGTACCCGATTTTAAGGTCCTACGTCAACCGGTGACCTCTAAGGTCAGGTCAAGTGCCCCAAGGTACGGTTCAGTTTTTGGCGAATAACTTCGCCACAAAGGGCCGCAGGGCCGCGATTTTGGCAGCATCGTGTTTGCCTTGCTTAGGCGCGTCAAATGATATAATTTTTAATTGGGTCCGTTCAACTTAGGGTGTTGACCTCAGGTCACGGTCAGGTCAGCACCCCCCGGTCATGAAGTTGGTGGAAAGAGGTCATGTCGCATATCATTAGATTCGGCAGGTATTCTTGAGTCCATTGGTGGCTTTCCCGACTCGCTAGCTCAATTTGATCGGGAGTTATTGACGAAAAACGAATATGACCTTGATGACGTCATAAATGACGTCACGCAAGGTCAATATTGCAAAAGTTACGCATCTAACCTTGCAAGGAGTGCGTCAAATCACGATTCTGTGTGCTTGAGATAGTTAGAGGTCGTTCCCGGCGCCAGAATAGCAGTTTTCATTTTTCTTCTTGACTTAGATATAATGGTGAGGTCACGAAAATGACCTGACCTCGTCCTCAAATAACCTTTAGGAAAATCTGAGATATACAAGCTGTGAGAATCGTAATGGATATTAGGTCCTGCAAGTTTCATTTCCCTGTGAAAACTCCTCTGGCCGTGAGGGCGTTGCGAAGTTGCGACATCTGAAGACCGTGCAGAGGTTCACTTATGACGTCATAGGTCGGTGACCTGACCTGACCCGAAAATGCGGTTGATGTAAAAAGATCCGGCTTGAATCAAAGGTCAGCTATGCAAAGTTTCAGCTCTATCGCCAGCGTGTTCGGAGCTATCGCGAAAAAAAACCTATGGGGGTGCGGCACCCGCACCCCCCTCGGCCGGCGAGGGTTAACCTAAAAATATTTGACTTACTTTTGCCTGTAATATCTCCTAAGGCATTGCCTTCGGCACTGCACTGCTTCGCCACGAGCAATTTGATGTTTATTTCCACATGGTATTGGTGCTTTTAAACTTGCTTGTGCCATGAATAATTATTAGTTATGAAATCAGGAGGTCAAAGGATATCATGTGATTTGCTTCTTACTTGGGGATTGCACCAAAAGTAAATTGGTGATCGGTCCTAAGTAAATAAACACCACCTAACCCAATCTAACCTAACCAAGGTTTGCAGATTGACATTTCGGCAAAGCTATATTTCAACTAATTGACATTTCGGCAAACTGCCAATTCGGCAGATTGACATTTCGGCAAATTGACTTTTCGGCAAATTGACATTTCGGCAAATTGACATTTCGGGAAATTTACATTTCGACTAATTTACATTTCGACTAATCGACATTTCGGCAAATCACATTTCGGCAAATTTACATTTCGACTAATAGGCATTTCGGCAAATTGGCATTTCGGCAAAAAGGCATGTCGGCAAATGGCATTTCGACTTTTAGCATTTCGACTTTTTGACACGTCGGCAAAAAGCACATCGGCAAAATGACATTCGGCGAAATGCATTCGGCAAAATGACATTCGGCGAAATGCATTCGGCAAAATGACATTCGGTAAATCGCCTTTCGGAAATTTGTCCGGACACCAATTTAGGTCCCTTGGCTCCAAAGATTTTCAAAGATTACTGGCGTGTGTCCATGCATCGGCCAACAATACCACAGCTCGTGCTCATGAAGCAGCCAGGGCTAAAACGGCGCAGAGGAGGGGTTGTTTCAGCAGGTGATGTCACAGTTTAGCGGCGCCAGACACTCGCGCCCTGGTCAGGATGGATCTGAAATTCTGAACGCACTGGCTCGTCCGGCGCCAGTTGAAATCGAGTCCGTCCCTCCACGGACGCGATTTCAAAGGCGAGCGTAAGTGGAGAATCGTCAAAGCACCACGAGAGCACGCTCTCTAGGGCAAGCACAAATTGCGCAATAAAATTATTGTACCCGCTCAGTAGAGATATGCTTCTCCAAAATCTCCAGCGACTCTATTGTGCAGCGACTTCAATGTAGGTAATTGTGCATGAAGAAACTATGAAAAATATTTGGTGTGAAGTTTTCAATTTCAGAATGTGACTCATTTGAGCGAGGTGCCCGAGTACCCTGAAAGCCCCATTTAGTCTGCGCCAATCGCCATGCAGCAAACCGTTAACAGAGCAGCTCTCTAAAGTCTTAGGCCTAATGGGCCTAGCAGACGTCCCTCATTTCAACCAATGCCCGCTGCTTCGCACGCGTATAGATAGATACATATGATGTTTGCTCTCTTTTTTTTTTGTATGACTGGTTTCGGGAACGCCCATGGATTTTGGTAGCCTCTGTCCTGACTCCTGCGTTTAGGTATACGCCGGGCCGCCGTTCACTCAATATACCCAGGAGCCGCCGAGCCCTTGGCCGAGCCTATTTTTCGCCAAAACATAACATAACATGCATTCTCCGACGCCGGCAGGTGCGGAGGTGAGTCCGGTGAGTCGGCTGGCGTAGACCGGGCTAATTTCCGACCAGGTGCGCCGTACGCACGCTGTCTGGTGATGAGGGCACCTCCGGCCGCGGATTCCCATATGGCAGAAGCCGCACAACAGACGCGGCGGCCGGCTCAGCTGCGAATGGATCACCTATTGAGCCGGTACCGACACGGCCACTGAATCCCACCGGGCCTCGAGGAAATCCTCAGACTCTGGACGCGTGTCACCACATCGGTGTCAGTGGCTCAACTCCTCTCAATGGCGCAGATTTCCGAAATGAATTAAAGTGGTGGTTCTGGTTTACTATGGGGCCTATGCCAGCGAAACGCTTATCGCACTGTCGTTCATTGCTCATACCACGGAATGTCGACTGGCGTGGAACGGTCTGCGCTGCTCCCCGGCCGAGACCGTGGGAGCCGATACACGGCGCACGCGTCTAGACGTGTCCGGCATAATCAGCCCAGTGTGGCCGGGTGAAGGGCTCGCGTGTTTCACACCCGTATCAAACGGCGCTCCGCTGACGTCACGGGCCGACGGCCCAGCTCGGCTCGGCCCGGTGGCCGGGCCGCCGCAGTCCGCACGGCTCCTTGGGTCCGTCGGCGGTGGGCAGAGCCATGAGGGGCGTCGGCTCCGGCGCCCGGCTCTGTCGACACTTCCGGGGCCACAGCTGCACCGTCCGGTGCCCGGGGTCGGAGAGCAGAGCCACTCGGGGCGGTGGCTGGGCTGTCATAGGGCGACACTGTCCTCGGAAAACAGCAAAACTGTCTCTAACGATAAAACCCGAGGTACTTATCACGCAAAATAGGACATAAAATTCCTGGGTAATGTGCTCACATGAGAAAATCATATACCAGAACGGCGGGAACCACTGACCGCTGACCAGGGGCCTGTGGAGCCTGACGGCGATAGACCTCGGACTTGCCTCCTCGTATGAGTGGGATCGGAGGGTCATACCGCTACGTGTGCTCAGTGGGTTAACTGCCCCCTCCCCACCCCCCCACCCCCCACCCCCACCCCGACGGCGACGAAGAGGTCCTCTAAATAAGAACCAGGGGAACGGGCGGGTAGCCTCCTCTGCACGGAGAATGGGTGGCGCACGGCCACCGGCACCCGACGTCCCCTGTCTGCCCTGTGCCCCCCCCCCCCCTCCGATCGGTCCGCCGGCCATGGCAGGGAGCGATCCCCTGTCTGCCCCTGTGCCCCCTCCGATCGGTCCGCCGGCCAGAGCACGGAGCGGTCCCTCTCTGCTGCCCCTGTATGTACCCCCTCCGATCGGCCGCCGGCCAGAGCACGGAGCGGTAACCGGCCGGAGATGAAGGGGCGTCCCCTGCCGCCGTCGGCCCGGCCCGAGGCTATTTCGGGCGGCGCGGCCTGCTCCGAGGCTATTTCGGGTGGCGCGGGCGGCTGAGTGGTGTCGGCCGGTGCGGGCCAGCGCCACCGGATGGGGTTACACCGGCGGCCAGCGGCCACGGACCGATGGACTAACCGACCAATATGATTATGGACTGACCGAGCAGTGGACTCACCGACTGACCGAGCGATGGACCGCCCGACCGACGGACCGCCGGACCGATGACGGACTGACAAGCTAGCGGACTGCTGAACTGACGGGCCGATGGACTGACGGACTGAGAGGCCCGGATCGACGGACCGAGACCGACGGACCGATGCACTGAGCCTCGGGATACGGGACGCTGGACCCACGGTCTAAGCCCAGGGGATCCTACGTTTGAACACGGCCTTTGGTGACGTGCGGACAAACCATTCACGTAAAACCCTTCCACCTTTTCCATCGTATATGCAGCCTCTGGTCCGACTACCCCTGAAGTTGTCTTGTCTCGTCACCGTGAATATTCAATACTACTGAGTCCGTACTCGGTACTAGACTACTCGGTATCCCGTACTCGGTACTCGGTACTCTGTACTCTGTACTCGGTACTCACCCTTTCCGGGCTCCGGCGGCGGGCGAGACGGAGGGCTCCACCAGCAGCGGCATCCCCATAAAATTGAAGCCTGCCAAAGGAGCATACAGTGGCGTCAGCGCCCAGCGACGGCCGTCGGTACCGGCGACCAGCGACTGGCAGTGGGGACTGGGGCACGACAGCTGACTCAGCCGCCCGCTCCATACCGGGCACTCGTAAACCTCCCAGCACGGCGAGAACATATCCAATAATCAGAGCAGCACAATGCAGCGAGACGTCCGTACAAGGCGCCGAACATGGCGGTGTGCGGATCGAGGGTTTAGATGTAAATTAAACACATGGTACACTAGGTTACACTTACAGGTAATAAAAAGGGTACAGCGAATCCACCCATGAGAAAAATCTAGACACCTGAAGTGCGTCATTCGCAGGAACTGCGACGTTAATCAATGAACTGCAAGAAGCACGGCAAAGCGCTGAACCGCAGGACGCACAGCGGGCACGACGCAGCCCAAACCAGGCCTGAGACGACTAGGTGACTAAACAGAATGATCGGGAGCGTTTAGGCGACTGCCGCATCGTCAATAAAGCGTCAACGGGTCGTATGGCCCGGGCGCACAGTTGCATACATTACATAGCACATACTTTGTCGGCAGCGGATAATTTACAATTTATGAGCCGGATCCGACTGTATGAATACGGACGAAGTTCCGCGTTCAGAGGCTGCTTTTGGAGCCACCCCCGGGCGCAGTCACGGGAGAGATCGCGTTAGGTGTGCGCCGTGCATGTCGACAGCCTTAGGCGCACCAGCTTACACACTGCCAGCATACTTTGCCCAGTGACATGCATTCAAATATATAAATTTATGATATCTATAACGACGCTTACAATGAGCATATTTCAACGTACCTAATTCATCCATGCCAGGTAGGACGCAAGACCGATATGTAAAATGTAATATAAGGGTATGACGCATCCTACTAAAAGGCACACTTCAAGGCACCTGGTGTAAGGTATCCGATCCCTGGCAGGTATAGTGGTCCCCGCTGGGATATGGGGGAAAGTAACAGGTGGGATTAAAAGCGGATTCGGCCAGGGATGGCGGAGGGACAGGGGTTATCACCAAACCGGGTTTTATTTACAGGGTGTCCCGAAATTGATGCGCGGTTGATGCCGCTTATGTTCTCCCTTCCTAGTGCTGAACGAATGTAATTTTTATTCGACCACCTCTGGCACCTGACTGGCCACCAGATCACCAGACCCCAGCGACTGACCTGACCTCGGCCGGTAGTGGCCGCGAGAGGCCATTCTTGTGCACCAGACAGGCAACGTGAAGAGACTGCATATCGCCAATAGCGAAAAAGCACAAACCGAACCGCTACCGCGCCGTGGGGATGGCCAAGGAGGATGAGCCAGGCTCAGGCTGCCAGAGAACTGGACATCAACTTGACGACAATGGGGCACTGGGTGGCCCCCGACCGATCAGAAGAGGCACTCGAGGATCCCACAGGTCGAGGGCGGACGACTGCCTTGAGCCGAGTGACGAAGATCGTGATTGCAAAATCGACCTTCCTTTAAAAAGTACCATTCAACATAGGCGCTGGCAAGAAAACTGAGGCATCGTCCAGCATCCAAATCGGATCGGCCATCCGCTGCACCGGTATCTGAAGACTACCCTGGAGCTGAGGCCGCTCAACTTCGGGACGCAGCCGGGGCTCAAAGTGGTCCAGAGGTGCGGGCAGCTGGATTTCGCCAAGGTCACTTCACAGCAACTGGGTTAGTTAGGACTGGAGATGCGTCCTTATCAATGACGCGGCGCCCTTTTAGCTCTCCAAGTCCCTAACCATCAGAACGACCGGACCTGGGATAACAGCAACTCTTAGGTGTCCGCTGTCGAGACGGTGAAACATCCGCTGAAGATTCGCGCTTGGATGCTGAGCTACAGAGGCCTCTCTGAGCTTCTCCAAGTGACAAGTGCCGCGGGGGCAGACCCTGGCCGCTGCTTATTGTCAGCGAGGTGCTGAAGAAGACTGCCGCGACTAAGACGTGGCGGAATAAGGAAAATGGTTCACAAACATGGTTCACAAACAAAAGCCAAACTTTTGACACACATGTTCAGGGCCATTTTCAATAGGAAGGGTCTCTAGCCCATCACACTAGGAAAACCCAGGACTGGCGCCGAGCGATGCTCCCAGGCCTCTGGGAGAAGGGGACATGGCCTGGCAACATTCCGGACCAGTCGCCGACCGAAAACCTCTGGAATATGGTCAAATAAGAGCTCAGCAAGCTACCACCGGCCAGCCCAGAGAAGACGCTGTTCCAGAACGCGTGAGCGGCATGGAGGAATGACAAAGCAACCACTCTCAACAACAGGATACAGGGCATACCGAGCGCATGAGGTATGCATACCAGAGCGTATACGACTGAAGGGGGATTAGAGTAGCAAATAAACAACGGCATGCATTCAAGTACTTTAAAAGTTATTGAAGATAACACACCCACCCATCAGTTTCGGGATATCTGTAGTTACATGCGATGTCATGGCGGTAATGTCATATAGCGGGTCATCAAGATAGCCACATAGCATGCATGATTCTAGCCACTGTCGCCGCCTCCCGGCCCAAGAAAACAGCAGCAGTAGTTTTATATTCAGATTTAGCATAGGTAGTAGACACGTGAGCGTACGCGGGGAAAAATACCTGTGGTCAAGCCCCACGGATCTTGATTCGGGAGCGGAGGGAATTGAAGATCCACCTCTTCAGATGCTAGCATTTTTTTTAATGAAATATGAATTCGTCATTTAGGAAAATAAAGTGAAAGTTGTGATCACTCTGTTTTAGGAATGCAATGTGATGTCAAAAATATCAAAACAGTTTTATGCCGATATTGTCATGAAGCAACCGTGATAATGGTTTCTGATCTAGCATGTTGCGTGACTTACATACCGAGCCACCCGGCCGCTAGCAGGGCCTCCGCGCGGCGTGGTGTGCTCCTTTAGGACGGAGCATCCGTACACCAGCGGCTGTCTGCTGGGGTAACCGTCAGCCGCCCCGCACCTATACGCTAGTCAGTGTTGTCAAGGATGCGGACCTTTTCGCCACGGGAATGAATAGGTCAGGTGTTTCCGAGTCCTCCCGTCACTGAGCGAGAGGTCCTCGGTATTGTGGGTACAAGGACGACTGAGAAAGGCCTGGTGGTAAGCAGGAGACTTTGGTCCCAGTCTTCGGCCGGGATGGTCTACGGCAGCCGCGTTAGGCGGTATTAACCTGGGCGATAGATGGAATAAAGCGATGCTTACTATTGATACATAGGACCCCCACCCCCATCCAACACTGCCCGAAAGTCTTCGGTACTTTGAGTAGTCTGCTACAGTCTATGCGCCCCCTTCACGCGTTCAATGTCCCCTGAGGAGCTGCGATTCCCCGGCATGCGCTGAGCAGAAGCCACCCACTCAGAGGGCCCCTCGGTGGCTCCAGGAGCCCGTTGCGCGCTCAAGGTCCATTCCGTAGCCCGGAAAGCTAGAGGCCCGGTTAGGCCATCCAGTACTTAGAAGACCCTTGTATACGTTCCGGGTGTGCTCAAAGGTCCCCTCACTGACAGAACTCAGAGGGTCCTTCGGCAGCTCAGAGGTCTCGCGCTCAGATGGCTCCGGGCCCAGATACGCGCTGATCAGAGGGTCGTTCAGTAGCCCGGAAAACTGCACCACGCTCACAGACGGGCCCCGACGCGTCTTCAGAAAGCCCTTTGGTAGCTTCGATGGGCCTGGCCTAGTGTTTTAAATAAACGACACAGGAATGCTTGGCACCGACGCTAGACACGGTGCCCGTATGAGAGGTCAGCCAATAAGCGATGCAGCCGGAAAGTAGATACCATGAAATATAAATAAAAACAACTAACTCAAAAAATGCCGATTCAATCAGGCTCATCTTCCAAAATTCCGGTTTCACCAACGCTTCATCGTAAAGACACCTATCGGAAATCGGAATCGGTAGACCTTAGCTGTTAGCAACCAGATTAGAATGATCCATTTTCAAAAGTGACATTTATTATCAATAGGTACTGGTAAGGTAGGTAGTAGGTACCTAGTACCTACCTATTGCCCCCACCGTTACGTCAAGAACTCAGAGACGGCAAACATTTAAACAGGTAAGACAGGTAAGACAGGTAAGGCTGAAGACAATGGGCAAAATATTTTTGAAACGGAAAATGTACCGAAGCCCCCTCCCCTCTCCTCCCCCAACCGCTTTATCTGGATCCCCCAGTTCCCTGTCGGCTGTCGCAATTCAACTAAATTCGATCATAATGGATGAATATTGGATGTAATGTAACTATCTACCTAGCCCCGGTCGGCGGTCCTCCAGGGGTCACAGACTAAAGATACATAAGCGCGGGATCCGGGGGGGGGGGCAGTGGGGGCAGCTTGCCCCCACCCCCCAACTCTGGGGCCGTGGGGGCGATGCCCTCACAGCTTTGAGACGGAATACCACACTTTTTTTTGCATGTTTTTTTTTTGTTGAAAAAGCCAAGGGATGAAAAATAGGTGGCCTAAAACCGGTGAGAAAACTAGATTTGGGGGTACCCTAGGTTGATCTCTATTATGGTGTGCCCCCCCCCCCCCCCCCAGTCCGAACGTAGTGCCCGCGCCCCTGTAAAGATAAGTTGAGATATGTAGATAACAATACACAACATTTTCACCGTTCAGGAATCCGCAAATCTAAATTCACACTGATATAATTTAAAATATAGATAAGCGATTCGTGAGAACGTATCAAAGTCAAAATCAATCATGCTTTGCGGCAAGGTAGCGCTAGCGCAATCTCAAGGTCACAGAAGTTCAAACGAGGAATGCTCAACAACTCCACCGTAGTTTCATAAATCAAGGCGAGGGAAATAGAAAAACTGGAATTAGTGATGCACATAACGTTGATTCAATCAAAATAAATTGATGACTTTGACGCTGCAAAGTCGCCAGCCATCTTGATTCGCCATAATTATAATCAAACATAGCGATTCGCGGAACGCCGGAGACCCGAGACCGGACCGTAACACGCGACGTCGAGCCCACTGCCAGTGCACCATGGAAAAACGAATGCAAGTACTCACCGTTTAATTTGTCTATCGACCGGTCAGCAACACTTTGGTCTGCACAGTCCACGAATGCGTATCCACCGCGCTTCACCAACACACCAGTGCAATTTAGACCATGTTCCTGGAAAAGCTGGCGTAGATTCGATTCCGTAGCGTCGGCCGGCAGGTTACCAACGTACAACTTGCTCATTATTGAAAGCTAGGTCAGATTTCACTTGAAAGGCAAAGGACGTGAAGGAAAGGACGATAGGCCGGGCTATGGAAGGGTAAATGGTATGGAAACGAGCGCACGCAGCCCCAACGCCCTCTCACTCGCGACGCTTGTCCGGGAATGGCAGCATTTTTTCACGGCCAGTCACACTGAACGCTGATTGGCTGCCGTCAAGTCACGTGACAATGCCGCTTCCCGGCTCGGTTTCGCCGGCTCGCCGCTAGAGCCGCGCGGCGGTCTGCGGCTGAGCGCTTTGCGGCCCGAGCCCGAGAGTTATTGATAATTGAAGTAGGTAGAGGCACCCGTTCCATGAGCTCTTTTACTTACACGCGATATTGCTAAAGTAAAGAAACTCGGATACAGACGAGGAGGTAAATGAAGCGGGTGTCCGACCCGATCCGAAGTCTAAACGGTTCCTCGTGCTTCCCTCGCCCCTGCCGGTATGCCGGTCCGACAGATGTTTGAAGCTCGGGGACGGGCTTCAAACATCAAACCCTTGATGGACACTGTCACTGGCAGCTGTCACCGGGCCTTCCTTTCCTTTCCGGCCTTCATACTTGATTATTCTTCCTTCATCCCTGTTCCGGGCTCCAACGTGTTTATAGGCCCCGTACTGAAGTAGAACCGGAGAAGACCGTTCCGAATCTGTCCCAACTCGCGTAACCGTAACGTTCGACCGGCTGGATAGTGGCGTGCCTGTCCCCTTCCCCATGTGGGGACATCAAGAGGATATTGGGAACCTCAGTCATAGGCATACTTAGTCCTTTGGGCCAGCTAAGGTCCTCAGAATGAAAAACCCACGCCATGACGCAGCCGCCAGCCATCCAAAGATTTGCACGAGTTTTCACAGACCTTTGAGCGAGTGGTTCTCCAAAACCGGTGTAGGACGGTGTCCTAGACTGGCGTGGGTCCTCCGACACCGGTGGGACCCTCACTCTCCTCAGAGGCTGGTGAAGGCCCTCAAAGGCCTGCCAAATGGCCAGACGTTAGCAAAGGCAGGCGGATGTGGTTCTCAAAGGTCGACGCGAGGTCCTCAGACGCCGGTGAGAGCTCAGAGGGCAGTTTAGGGCCCTCGGCCCAGAGGCCCTAAACTGCTGAAGCTAGACCCTTTAGAGTTTAGTGGGGCTCCTTTGGATGTGTTCGGCCCTCGAGGGTCCTGTGGGTCCGCTCCAGCTGGGGCCCGGCCGCCGTATCGTCGGCGAGACCGGGGACAAACGAGAAGTGGATTTTTTCGGCGGATCTAAACGGTACAGACGGTATTCATGCTCAGCACCAGCGACTGCTAAATTTCCACCAAACTCCCAATCATCAGTCCATTTTCTCCCAGAGCCCTTCATCCCGTTCCGCACACTGAATTCACTTTTTGAATTGTTGCCTTCTGACTGTAGATATTCATCTGTCCGCACATTTGACGGGACTGTCGGTTAAGACCCGTGGCCCGAAAACTTGTCATACACAGACAAGAAAAGTTCATGTCAGTGTAGACGAGAGGTGGAAATGAAGCAGTTTACCGAAGAACGAACTGAAGGCAGTCTCTGACGAACTAGACCGCGTCCCGAGCGTCCCGGCCGGGACCACATCCCTGCTCCGCTCTGCTGGGTCCCCGGCGACCACAGACAGTCCCCGCCCCACTGCGCTGGGGTCCCCGGCGACCACAGACAGTCCCCGGCCCACTGCGCTGGGGTCCCCGGCGACCACAGTCCCCGGCCCGCTGCGCTGGGGTCCCCGGCGACCACAGACAGTACCCGGCCCACTGTGCTGGGGTCCCCGACTCGGCACTGGCCAGCGGCCGCAGACCAGGCAGCCACTCCGTGCGTGCGTGCGTGTATTTATACAGGCGGTCCGTGCGGTATCTACAAAACAGCCCGCGTCCCCTCACATCGCCAGGGATTGTCCAGCCCGCGTCCACTGGCCACCGACGCCGCCCACTTTGTACTCTGTAGAATATATGTTGTGGATAACAGACAGGCACGCACACAGACCTGGGCCGGCGGCGGGCTGCACAGCCGCGCGGGCCGGCCGACCAGCCGCAGTGAAAGACCGCCGGGCGGGCGTCTCTGGCGGCGCGCCCGGCTCGGAGCGGCTGGCCGGCCGCCGCGCCCCTCGCCGTCACTGGCCGCCAGCGCGGCGCGTCACCAACTCAGACACACACAGACACGGTCCGAATAGCGTCATCACACACCGCGGGACAGCGGACGGCGCCCGCACCCACCATCGAGCCGATTGAATAAATTACGCAAACTCAACGGAAAACATGATCAGCGGCCGACGAGTAAAACAAATAATCATATATATGGGTAAAGCCTGCCTGTGGCCGGCGGCCGCGGCGCGTCACAGCGGGTACAGCTGAATTGGGGCGGGGCCGGGCGCGCGCACCCCGCCCCCGTCACACACAGTATCACCGAGGGGCCGGCCGGCGCGGCGCTAGCACGTCATGTTGAACCGCTCCCGGCGGAGCAGCATCTCCACGTCGCGGTCGAGTCGGACCAGGCGCGCCGGTCCGTCGGCCGGCCGCAGCGCCCAGCCGGCCACCGTCTGGCAGACCAGCTCGGCGGCGTCCTCCGGCGAGCCGACCTCGAGCAGCTGCAGCTCGGGCCGCTCGCGCAGCACGGCCTCCTCCGAGCAGGCCAGGTGGGCGGCCAGCGCTGACAGCGTCACGTAGCGGACGGCCGGCGCCGGCTGAGAGTCGTTCAGCCGCCGATAGATGGCAGGCAGCGCCGCTTCGGCCATGTCAAACGTCAGGTTGGCGTCGTCCGCGCGCGGGGTGAAGGCGGGAGCGCCATCCGAGAGCAACATACCGCTCGGCCACGGCTCTGTAGGAGATGGGGGGGGGGGACGTCAGCGGAGAGACGGGGAGAGTGGCGCCGGCGGGCAGGGCAGCGTCCGCGCCCGGAGAGGGAGATGGGAAACGGCAGCCCAGCAGCAGGCGGTGTACAAACGCGGGACAGCACCGGGTGACCGGGTCGATGGTGGACTGGGTCGGTGGTACACAGACAGCTCTGGGTCGGTGGTGTACAGACAGCTCTGGGTCGGTGGTGTACAGACAGCTCTGGGTCGGTGGTGTACAGACAGCTCTGGGTCGGTGGTGTACAGACAGCTCTGGGTCGGTGGTGCACAGACAGCTCTGGGTCGGTGGTACACAGACAGCTCTGGGTCGGTGGTGTACAGACAGCTCTGGGTCGGTGGTGTACAGACAGCTCTGGGTCGGTGGTGCACAGACAGCTCTGGGTCGGTGGTGTACAGACAGCTCTGGGTCGGTGGTGTACATACAGCTCTGGGTCGGTGGTGTACAGACAGCTCTGGTTCGGTGGTGTACAGACAGCTCTGGGTCGGTGGTGCACAGACAGCTCTGGGTCGGTGGTACACAGACAGCTCTGGGTCGGTGGTGTACAGACAGCTCTGGCCTGGTTCGGTGGCGTACAGACAGCTCTGGGTTGGTGGTGTACAATACATACAGACAGCTCCGAGTTCGCGGAGAAGACACAGACAATAGGGACCCACCACCCGACCACATCGCCCGCGCCCGGTCCACCGCTAAGATTTTGAGCCGAAAGGTGAACGCCTCACTGGTAGATGGTGACACAGTCCCACTCCCGGGTCCAGCGTGACCTCTGATCAGTAGCCAGCTCAGCAGTGCAGTTCCAAAATTATATTTTGGCTTAGGAATCAGAGGGGAAAATGTATCGCCAAAACATCGGATGAGAGCGGAAATTAACGGTCAGCCAAGGCCCAAAAGAGTGGAAAAGGATCAAAAGTATACATTTCTATACATTTGTGGAAGGATGTAGGATGTAAAGCGACTATCTACACAAATATTTTTCTTTGTAGAATTGGGTACGGAGAATGGTCTAAGAAGTTAGAGGTGAGAGTGAAAAATGATTTTCATTTGAATGTCGTTGCCCACCCAAATGAACGAATTTTGGGACACAGCAGCTGGGCCAGCTGGCCCGGAAACAACACAGATCAAACGGTGTGCGCTCTCCTAGCCTGGCACTCACTGTCACCGCGTCACCGGTAGCATACCTTATCCAATGGCCCACGAGGACCACGAGTCCGCAGCGTTAGAGTCAAGGCTTCTGATTCCACTACACGCACAGTGAATGCCATAGTGAACATATTGCTGGCTACGCTACGATCATTCATAACTCAGCCAAAGGAAAAGAGAAAGAAAAGCGGTCAGCTGGTGTTGCGACTCACCGAGCGCCTGGCAGGCGACAAAGTGCCAGCCGGAGCCGGTCGATCCCTCCAGGTCCTCCACATGTCCGTGCAGCAGGCGCTTCATCACCGGCATGTTGGCGCACTGCTCCAGCGGGCTGATGCCTGGGCGGGGAAGGGGGGGGGGGGCATCAGACACCGATCAACACTGCTCCACCAGTACAGGCGCCCGGTCACTCGCAGTTCACAGCGCCGCCAGGGCGTTGGTTGATAAACAGCAAGCAAAGGCAGCCGATTTACGCGCACATCCATCCAATATTGGACAGCACACTCCCCAACGGGATGGCAGAGGTCACATTTTGCACAGACATGGTACACGACGAACAGCTTAGCCGGTTACAAATCACAAATTCTAGGCCGTGCAGCAGATTGCCGACCACAGCGTCTTGGAGCCCTTCGACCCAGCCCGGATACCAGACACCCCCAAGACACCACCACCTTACGTCCCCAGACACCTTACCACCGCCCTGCGCCCGTCCCAGGTCGCCCGGCCCCTACCACCGCCCTGCGCCCGTCCCAGGTCGCCCGTCCACTACCACCGCCCTGCGCCCGTCCCAGGTCACCCGTCCACAACCACCGCCCTGCGCCCGTCCCAGGTCGCCCGGCCCCTACCACCGCCCTGCGCCCGTCCCAGGTCGCCCGCCTCCTACCACCGCCCTGCGCCCGTCCCAGGTCGCCCGTCCACAACCACCGCCCTGCGCCCGTCCCAGGTCGCCCGCCTCCTACCACCGCCCTGCGCCCGTCCCAGGTCACCCGTCCACTACCACCGCCCTGCGCCCGTCCCAGGTCACCCGTCCACTACCACCGCCCTGCGCCCGTCCCAGGTCGTCCCCTACCACCGCCCTGCGCCCGTCCCAGGTCGCCCGTCCACTACCACCGCCCTGCGCCCGTCCCAGGCCGGCCCCCTGCGCCCGTCCCAGGTCGCCCGCCCCCTACCACCGCCCTGCGCCCGTCCCAGGTCACCCGTCCACTACCACCGCCCTGCGCCCGTCCCAGGTCGCCCGCCCCCTACCTGCGTAGGTGGGTAGCCGCGGGTCGGAGCCGTACGCCAGCAGCAGTCGCACCAGCTCCGGGTGGTTGTTCTCCACAGCCTCGTGCAGCGGCCTGAGGGGCAGATGGGCACAGTGAATGGTCTGTCGGAGGGTGGGCACAGTCATGAACGGTCTGTCGAAGGTGGGCACACAGTAAGCGGCCTGAGGGGCAGATGGGCACAGTGAGCGCTCTGTAATTGGAGGGTGGGCACACAATCAGCGGCCTGCGGGGCAGATGGGCACAGTGAATGGTCTGTACTTGGAGGGTGGGCACACAATCAGCGGCCTGTAGGGGGGAGATGGGCCGTCAGCGGTCGGTAGGGGGTGATGGGCCGTCAGTAGTCTGTGGGGGGGGGGGGGGGGTGAGCACGCAGTCAGCGGTCGGTAAGGGGTGAGCACACAGTCAGCAGTCTGTCAGCGGAGATGACCAGTCGGTGGGTTGTATGTAGGGGTAGATGGGCACGTCAGCACTTAACAGCACCTACGAAGGGGGAGATTGGCACACTTGACGGGCGAACGCACCAGGAAAACAGATCACAACATGAGACATTGTTACGATTCTGAGTGAAAAGCGAGTCCAGAAGCAAAAACCAGCAATGCCTGGTTAAAAAAGCCATTTCAGAGGCAAAGAACAACGCCCACCTGTAGATGACTTATTGTATTTGTTATCATTATATGTGATTGCCCAATCAAGAAAGGCGACACAAAATAGAAAATCCTAATTAACAACTACTGATGCGTACTAGCAGCAGGTTGCAATTTACACAATTATTTGTTTGTTACTTGGGGCTTTAGGGCGCGCCGACTACTACGGTCATGTTGCGTCCAATTTTACACAATAAGAGTTTCGGACTGTGCTAAGTTAGAAAAGCTGGTCCTGTTTACCTGGCGGGCATCGCTCCATTTTACCACGGCATATTCAGTCCTGTCATGGATGATATAACACTGGATTGGTGTCTCGTGGAAATTAACATTGGGATCCGCGACATCGGGATCAGGCCTGCCATCTAGCGAGAGAATTATCGTAAGTTAGGAGCAAGACGAGTGAACGCCATCTCTCAGCATTATGATACACGTGGGTGTGGTGTGTTAGTTGGCTTGAAGTGCATATTCCCACGAGTTGGAGGTAATCTTACTGGACTTGAGACGATAAAAATGTCTTAAATGTTTGAAGGCCAAAAATGTCAAGCAGCATTTAGGTAATAACGAAAATAAAATGCGTAAGACGGTGTGTATTGAAACGCCCAGTCCCATCGGCTTGTACGACCTTTTCAATGGTCATTTACTCACAATGGTACAGCAGTTTAACAATATGTCATACATATTTGGTAGGCTTATTCTTTCTTCTCCGAATTTCGCTCGATTTTCTTCATCTTAGTGAATTGTTACGGCACGTGCCACGTGCAAACTTAGGGGTGTCGAAATTGTTCCACATAGAGTAACTCCGCAATGGCTGGGCTCATTACAATAAAACTTCGTCAATAGTAAGGCACCCATTGGCCAATGCATTTCCATGTATCACTATGAGGGTGCTACTGCACGTGCGCACGTGCGGGGTGCCGCTTCCATATCTCAAGAACGGCCGGGCGGATAACACTCAAACTTGGTACACAAATGTCACATCGATGCTCGCACTGCATTGATCAGTGCATACATTGGTGCAGAGTCGTTAGGAAAACGATGAAATGAGATGCGTGGTGTTTATGCCTTTCTGCTCCAGCAGCTGATTGATCCGCAACAGGAGATCCTTGTTTGTGAAGGCTTCGTCTCCCTTTTCCACCCCTTGTTTAAAATAACATTAACAATGTACGAAGAAGATCACACATCAAAGTCGTTTTAGGCGGCTATCTTGGGCCAGGGCTGCGGAGTTGTAGTCAGAGCCAGCGGTTCAGTTCCGACTCGGAGTCGGTTGATTTTTAAAAGCTGTAGTCGGAGTATGAGTCGAACATCACCGAAAAGTCATCGACTCCACAGACTTACCAGGGCTGCAGAGTCGGAGTCAGAGTCGGAGTCTGTGTGAATCGACAGTTCTGCCCGGAGGAGTCGGAGTCGATATTTGGATACCGGAATCGGAGTTGGAGCCAAGTCACTGAAATTTCCTCGACTACGCAGCACTGGTTGGGTCCTTTTCATAGAACGTCTTGAATGACATATTGAGCGGCAATGACGTTAGCGATTCCGTTCAACTTTTTCATTACACTTATAGATAGTACCTAACGCTCGTTTTGTTCTTTGATCAGACAATTTGTTTGAGTTAGGCCAAGTAAAGACTCATGTGAAAAATAGCGAAAACGACACGTGCTGGCGAAGTCTCCAATAACTCCCTGTTTCACGATTTAATGAGGAAATTACATCGAACTGCTTATCTTATTACTGACCCTGCACATAAATCTATTAATTTCTTCGCTTTTACTGACATATAAAGACATAACCTTGTGAAAAATTGCACAACAAGCCCGCTACTATACCACCCTCCCGTGTGTCACAATGCTAATCAGCGGCGTTCACTCGGCTTGCTCCTAACTTACGACAATTCTCCCGCTAGATGGCAGGCCTGAGCTCAATGTCGCCAAAAACTGCGAAGACACCAATCCATTATTATCTCATCCATGGTCCTGTTCTAGGTCAGCACACGTCCGGACATACATCTCAGTGGGCACAAAAGCGAATGAATACATGAACGAAAGGATAAAACAGCCCCCTGAACACGGCCGACATATATCGGAACCACGGTCGGTATCCTACGGCTCTGGCCGTACACACCAGACTAAACGCCGCTCGTTCGCCGGTGGGGCGCAGCAAATGCCCATCCCACCCTGTTGCTAGTGCCCCTGGCGGCTGGCGCTGACGCCCCCTGGTGGTAACCGCCCCCGACGGCGACACCACCCCTGCCACTGTTCGCCTTGAGACCGCAGTTGAGGCCCCCCTGGTGCCGCACCTAGCACCTGCTGCCTCCCCCGGTAGCTCACCTGACGCCGCCCCTGCCACTGCTGCCTCCCCCGGTAGCTGACCTGACGCCGCCCCTGGCGCTGCTGCCTCCCCCGGTAGCTCACCTGACGCCGCCCCTGGCGCTGACGTTGACGTCCGCTCCGTAGAGCAGTAGCGTCTTGGCAACGTCCAGGTGACCGCGCGCGCACGCCTCGTGCAGCGGCGTGAAGGAGGCGTTGTCGCGGCAGTCGGTGGCGTCCTCGCCCGTCTCCAGCAGGTAGATGACGGCGTCCTGCGCAGCCGGGGACGTCAGAACACACCGCCAACACACAGCACGGGCGGGCCAGACAGACCCAATCATATACAGCAGACGGGGCGCCGGTGCACCGTGATTAATGTGTTACCATAGTTATCCAAAGCACGAGTTTGACTACTGATTTTCATCAAAGCGTAAAATGTGGAGCAAACCGTTAACATTCAAGTGCAAGCAGAAGTAGCGGCCCAGGCGGCCGCTGACGGCAGCATGGCGCTCCCTGCGCGCTCTCACCAGGTAGCCCAGTTTGGCGGCGCGCAGCAGGGCCGTCTCGCCAGCGCTCTTGTTGAGCACCCAGGAGCGGATCTCGGCGGCCAGCTCGGGCGAGCGGGTCGGGTCGGCACCCATCCGAGGACCGCACACCTGCGGAGCGCACATGGACGGACGGTCAGATACGGCAGGCGGTTAGATACAGGAGTCAGGCATGGCAGATGGTCAGTTACGGGTCGTATAGGGCGGCCAGATACGGAGGACGATCAGATGCAACAAAAGATCAGTAGCAACAACTCTGACGGTCACATGATGGTAGACGGTTGGATACAACAGTCAGATACGGCCTACGGTGAGATACGGCGGATGATCACGGGCCAGACCAACCATCAGTCTTACAATGACCACCAGACTGCAGATCAGTCACAAAGGTCGAGGGCGCCGGGCAGCGGATTCATAAGACTTGACAGACGCAATTTACAGACACAGTACAGACATGGACCGACAAAGGTCAAACAATATACAGATACAGACAGAGACACAAAGTAGAGACACAGATAGACACAATATACAACAACACACACACACAGACACAGGGTAGACACGGGCCGACACGCTGTCAGCGAGGGCCGGGCGTCCTGTCCACTCACCGGACGGAGCTTCTTGTTGCGCGGCACCACGGAGTCCGTGTCCGTCTCCTTCTTCCGCTTCTTCTTTAGCATGAAGTCGAAGCCGGAGCGGTTCTTGGTGCGCCGCTTCTTGACGCGGCGGCCGCGCGCCGGCACCACGCTGGCCGGCGGCGTCTCGAGCGACTGTTCGGCCGGCGCCGGGCTCTCCGGCAGGCGCGCGGCCGCCGCCGCCGAGCGGCGCGCCACCGCCGCCGCCGCCGGCGCCTTGGCCGGCCGGCGGTGGTTGCGCACCTGGCTGATCTCGTCCAGCGACACGCCGAACACCTGGTGCAGCAGCTCCTTCTCGGTGATCTGGGCGCGCGCGCCGCGCGTGCGCGAGTCGAGCACCACGGCCGGCGCGGCGCCGTCCGCCAGCGGCGAGTCGGCCAGCTCGCGCGCGAACCGCTCGACGGTGGCGCGAGGGAAGAGCAGCGCCGCCGGCACCGGCTGCTGGCCTGGCCGCGGCGTGTCCAGCAGCGAGGGCGCCGCGTAGTGCAGCACCTCGCTGCGCCGGCTGTACAGCGCGCCCATCCGCCGCTCCACCTGACGATCCGTGATGCTCTTGTACTTCTTCACCAGCGAGTTGACGATGGGCTCGGGCGCCGCTGAGGGCCCGTTGGTGGTGGCCGGTGAGCGGTCACCGCCGCCGCCCGGCAGCTGCTTGTTCACCGCCGCCAGCAGACGGGCCTCGATGATGTCGACGCGCGTTTTGCGCTGCGCGCGCAGCACGAACCGCTGGCTGGGCGGGGCGGGCGCGTCCTCACCGCTGGAGGCCATCACCTTGGCGCAGATGAGGTCGACGCTCTTCTGAGAGGCGGACCTGTGCCGCTCGCGGCGTCCGCCCTCCTCCTGACTGAAGCGCGCCGAATTCTTCCTGTCGGCGGTCGGCGCCGCCTCGGCTCGACTCGGAGTGCGCGCCGGCGTCGGCGTCGACCGCGCCTCCTTGCGCGGCGTGCCCTTGCGCGTCGGCGTGCCGGGCGCCTCGGCGGGCACCGACTTCCGCTGCAGCTTGGGCACGAGCCGCGGCGGCACTCGACAAATACCCGTCTTCCAGGCGAAGAAGCGTTCCTGCCAGCCCTCAGCCCAGGCGTCCGCCACGGCAGAGGCCGAGAAACGCTCCCGAGCGAAGCGCGCGCGCGGCCGCTGGCGAGTCAGCACCTCGGCCACCCGCTCGAGCACCTCTCGGTAGTCCTCCGGATAGTGGTGGATGATGTCGAGCTCGTCACGCTCCTCGTGCGGCGGCAGGAGCACGTCCAGGATGGACGGTATTGTCCGCGACTCGGCCGAGTCTCTCCTCCGTGAGCCACTGCCGCTGGAGCCGGCGGCGCCGCCGTCCCGCTTCGCGTCCCCGTCACCGCCGGCTGATGGCGCCGCCGGCGGCGGCTTTTGTACACTGTCGGCGACCGCCTCCGACTCGGACACACTGCACTTGGCCCTGGACCCGTCACCGGCCTCGTCCTCCGAGCTCCGCGCCGGCTTGACCGCTTTCGTTGCACTCGCGCCCGCCTTCCCAGTTCGGCCCGCGCGCGCGCCCCGCGCCACCGAGCCATCCCGTGAGCCCTTCTCACTGGCGTTAGAGCCATCCCTGAGCCGAAGCGTCCTGGTTGAATCACGGGCGGCGTCCCCCGCCCCACCGTCCGCACTGTCTGCCGAGTCCGTCCGCGCGCCGACCGCCTTCCGCCGGCGCAGTTTCCGGCGACCTCCGCGGCCGTCGTCCGAGTCCTTTTCGTTGTTGTGCTTGGCCCTGCTCGAGTTCCTGGTGCGCGGCGCGTCCGTGCCGCTCGCCGAGCCGTTCGAGTCTGACTCGACGTCCTCCTTTCGTTTCCGCCTGGTGGGCGCCGGCAGTCCATCCTCAAACACCAGCCGTTTGGCGGCGCGCCGCGAGCGCGTGCGGCCGTCCCTGCGGCGCGAGCCGGCGCTGCGCGTCACGCGCCGCTCGGGCCGGCCGGCGCGGCGGGTCCTCAGCCGGCGCTCGGACGGCGCGTCGCTGTCGCTGCTCTGGCTGCTGTCCGACTGCTGCAGGGGGCGGCGGCGGCGCAGCGGACGGCGCGCCGGCCGCGGCTCGCTGTCGCTGCTGTCACTGGACACGGCACGCCGACCCCGGCGCCGCGCCGGCCGCCGAGCGTCGCCCGCGCCGCTGTCACTGTCCGACGACTGGACGGCGCGCCGGCCGGGGCGGCGCGGCACCTCCGACTCGTCACTGCTCTCGCTCGAGTCCTGCGACTCGGAGGAGTCGGAGGAGCTCTTGGATTCGTCGCCCGACTGAGAGAGCTCGAACTCACTGCCGCTCTTCTCCGGTTTGGGCTCGACTTTAGCCTTCGACACCGGCGGAGTGACTCCGTTGCTCGTGCTCTGTGGCGCCGAGTTCGCCGTGGTCTGATTTTCCTCGGCGTCCGGTTCCGTTTTGACGACTGGCTGCGGGGAGGGCGCCTTGGGCGGCGGCGGCTCCAGCGTCTCGGGCTCCGGCTCCTCTGCCGGCTCCGCCTTCCCGCTGGTCACCTCCTGGAATTTGCTGACGATCTTGGTGCGCGTCACCCGCTTGCTCTTGACCAGCTTCTGGTTGGACTCGATGTTTTCGGCCAGCGAGTTGCACACACTGCCCCAGAAGTCGCTGTCCAGGCCGTCCCCGAACACGTCGACGAGCGGCCGCTCGGGCGGCGGCTCCACCTTGGCGCGCGCTGACACCTTGTGCGACAGCACGGGCACCTCGCCGTCCGAGCCGCTGTCAAAGTCGAACACCGACTTGTTGGACTCTGTCGACGTCGACTGGCGGACCGGCGGCGGCGGCGGCGGCGGCGCTGACGCCGAGGGTGACTTCATCTCGGCCTTGGTGCGGACGCGGACGGCGGCGGCCGCCGACTGGCTGCTGGGCACCTGGCGGATCTGCCGCTCGTAGCGCGACAGCTGGCCCTCCAGACAGCGCTCCTGCTCGGGCGTCATGAACGGGCCCTGGGCGCGACGGAACTCCACCGGCGCGCCGGCCACGTGCAGTGACGGCGGCGTCCGGCCACCGCGCGGCGACACCGAGCCCGTGGACGGACGGCGCGCTACCTTCCGCGGCTCGGGCGGCCGGGCCTGGCCTAGCAAGTCAGCCGGCGGCCTGGACTGGCCTAGCGGGCCAGCCGGCGGCCGGGATTGGCCCAGCGGGTCTGCCCGGGCCTGGCCTAGCAAGTCAGCTGGCGGCCGGGACTGGCCTAGCGGGCCAGCCGGCGGCCGCGCCTGCCCCATTGCGTTTACTGGCGCTGCCGGAGCTGGCCGCGCCTGTCCCATCGCGTCTACCGGCGCCGTTGGCGGTCGGGCCTGTCCCAGTCCGTCTGGCGGCCGCGCCTGCCCCTGTACGTCCGGCCGCGCTGTTGACGGTGGCCGCGCCTGCCCCAGAGAGTCTATCGGCGCCGCCACCGACTCGTTGATGAAGCTGGTCACGCTGTTGTAGATATCCAGCTCTCCGGCACAGGCGAGGGAGCGCGCTGCCGGCGCCGGCGGCGGCAGCGGCTGCACGTGTTTCTCGGGCGACGTGGCCGCCTTCATGTTTGGGAAGAGCAGCGCCAGGTCCTGCGGCGAGTGGCCGGCCGTGCCGCCGTTCAGGCCGTTCCGCAGCAGCTCCTCCAGGCTGCTGGCCTCGGCCAGGTCCTCCGAGGGCTGCCGGTGGCGCGGCCGGCCCTCGGACGAGTCGCGCCGCGCTGCCTTGCTCGGCCGGTCGAGGGACGGGTCCGGCGGCCGTTTGCCGCCGGCCGGGCCCGACTGGGAGGTCAGCGGACCGTTCTGCGGACCCCAGGGAGTGGGCAGCGGCCGCGGAGCTGGACGGCTGGGCTGGACGGGCCGCGCGAACGGTCCGACCGCCGGCGCCGGCGGCTGGCCGGACCGGGGCGCCGCGCCGTTCACCGGCGACCATCCGTGCGGCGGCCGCGGCGGTCCCGGGTGGCGCTGGGCGCCCCACTGCTGCGCAGCCGCCGGCTGCTGCTGCTGCTGCACCGGACGCTGCCACTGCTGCTGCTGCTGCTGCTGGTGTTGCTGCTGATGCTGGTGTTGTTGCTGTAGCTGCTGCTGCTGCTGCTGCTGCTGCTGCTGATGCTGGTGGTGTTGCTGCTGCTGCTGCTGCTGCTGCTGCTGCTGCTGCTGCTGCTGCTGTTGGTGCTGCTGCTGTTGGTGCTGCTGCTGGCGTAGGTGTTGCTGCTGTTGCAGCTGCTGCTGGTGGTGTTGTTGTTGTTGCTGCTGCTGCTGCTGCGAGGGAGGCTGTCCGGACCGCATTGCTGGGTGCAGCTGTTGACCCATCTGGCCGTGCCGCTGATACTGGTCTGGCTGCTGGTGTTGGTGCGGCGGTGCCGGCGGCCGCTGCTGCTGGTGCCGCTGCGGGTGTCCCTTCTGCCCAGGCTGCTGCGGCTGCTGGTGGTGGTGCGGTGCCGGCATTCTGTGCGGGTATGGCGCTGGGTAGCCCGGCCGGCCCGGCTGCGGCAGTGCAGAGCCGGGCGGCCGGCCCGGCTGCGGACACTGACCCGGTCCCGCCGGCGGCGGCGGACCAAACCGGGGCGCCGGCTCCGCAGACATCGGGCCACCGTAGGCCGGCCGGCCCGGTGCGTTCGGCTGCTTCTCCTGACGCGGCAGGTCAGACCTTGACGCGGGGTGGCCCGGCGGGTGGTCCGGCCTGGTCGATGGGTGGCCCGGGGGCTGGTCCGGCCTGGTCGCCGGATAGCTCTGAGCCTGGTCCGGCCTGGACGTCGCCGGGTGGCCCGGAGGATGGTCGGGACGAGAGGCCGCTGGTCGCTCCTGCCGAGGCTGCTCGGGCCGCTGCGGAGCACCGCCGTAGAACTGCTGAGAAGCCGGGCTGGCCCGCGGCGGCGGCTGCTGCGGCGAGGGGCTGATCCGTATCGGCACTCCGCCCGGCGGCTGGTACGCCGTCGGACTGGCTCTCGGTGAAAAGTTGAGCGGTGCCGCGGCGGCCGTGGTCGCGTCACTGGACGGCACGCCGAACGGCCGGGCCGGCGGCGCGGCGCGTGGCGACTCGGGCGGCGCCGGCCGCGGGCTGGGACCGCCGGCGGTCGCCGTCTCCAGCGGCCCGTTGTGGCCGCCGGCCGCCGGCTCAGGCGTGCGTGCCGGCGACGGAGCGGCGCGCCGCGGGCCGGCCGCCGCCTCGGCCGCCGCCGCGGGGGACGCCGGCGGCCGCCAGGGCTGGGCGCCGGTCGGCGGCCGCCACTCGGACGCCGGCGACCGGAAGCCGTCCGAGCGGCACTGGGGCGGCGCCGCGGCCGCCTGCGAGGCCGGCCGGGACGCCGGCGGACTGTTAAGCGTGTCGAGCGGGGCGCGCGCCGGCGGCGGCACCGACTCGGGCCGCGGCTCGCGCTGCTGCCGCGCCACGCTCTGGCTGGGCAGGGTCGGCATCACGCTGCGCGGCCGCTCCTCGGCGCCGCGGCGCACGCTCAGGTCCAGCACCTCCGTGGACAGCCGTTTGCGGGGCTGTCCGGTGTCGGCCGGCGGCGGCGGCGGCGCGGCGCTGCCCGGCCGCAGGTCCAGCAGCTGTCCGTCCCCCGAACTGTTGCGGCGCCCCGCCGTCTCCGCGGCCCACGGCGCTGGCGGCGGCTGCTTGGCCCGCGCCGCGCCGGGGTCGGGCCGCGCGGCCGGCGGCGGCTGGTGGTTGCTCACGGCCTGCGGCTGCGACATGGACGGCCACCGGTAGCCGTGCCGGTCGGCGGCGGTGGACCCTGGCCGCAGCGGCGCCGGCGCGGCGTCCGACACAGCCAGCCCCGCTCCGGAATAGGCTGCGCCCGGCGCCGAGCCGTGGTTGTAGACGAGTCTCTGCTGCTCCCTGGGCGCTGGGGACGGGTAGGTCGACTGGAGGGTGGCGGCGGGCTGGTAGGTCGACTGGAGGGTGGCGGCGGGCTGGTAGGCCGACTGAGCGGCCGGCTGCGCCGCTGGCTGCGGGTCACCGCTCCGGGACGCGGCTGCCGTCGTCAGCTGCTGTCGGCCGTAGTAGTCCAGCAGGTCGCCGAGGTGCCCGCCGCCGGCCTGCGGGGCCGCCGCCGGGTGAGCGGCGTACAGGCCGTCGGCGGCCGGCCACGGGGCGCGCTGTCCCGTCTGGAGCGGGCCGCCGGTCGGGCCGCGCGGCTCCAGCGGCGAGCGCTGCCGCAGAGCTGACTGCAGTGCGGCGCGCGACTGGCTCAGTGTGGGCAGCTGCGGCCGGCCGCCCTCCAGCACCTTCACCACGTGCTCGGCGCGCGCGCCGCCGTCCACCGCCGGCGGCCGGCCGAGCTGCTGCTGGCCGCCGGCCGTCACCGGCGACCGCGTCTGCTGCTGGCAGAAGCCCTGCGCGGTGTGCCGGGCACCGGCCGGCGCCGCAGAGTGGCCCAGCATGCTCCACACGCTGTCCGGGCCGGCGGTGCTGTAGCGCGCCGCGGCCGCCGGGTCGGCAGACAGTCCGGCGTAGGGCGCGTACGAGCCGGCCGCCGCCGAGGACACGGCACCGGCGGCGCCGGCGCGCTCGGGCCGCTCCGGGCCGCGCTGGTAGGCGGGCGGCCAGCCGGCGGCGGCGGCGGCGGCGGCCCGCTCGCCGCCGTCCGACGTGCCGCGCGTGATGCTGCCGGAGCCGACGCCGGGGAACAGCTGGTACGGCCAGCCGGCGGCACCGGCCGCCGACGAGTCGGCGCTCGACGTCGGCACGCCCTGGAAAAACTGGCGCGTGCCGCGCAGGATGTTGGAGAACTGGTGGTCCATCTTGGGTCACCGCGCCGCCACCATAGAGTGCTGTACCGGGCGTCAATTATAAGATGCGGGCGCTAAGTGACGACCCAGGCGTCATCCTGCCAACGAGAGGTGGACAAGAGTCAATAGACATCACATGGCCCTGAAACTCGGGTTCTGCCTTCATTAATCTGTGGAGTTAATTCAGAAAGGGAAATAAACACTCTAAGTGAGCTGCCGATGTGCCATATCAAAAACGCCTAGGGTTTTAGTCTTTAGGCTGTGAGGCACTGTTTCACAGCCCAAGTTTTTCCAACGGAGGCCGCTGCTCCCTTTGGAACTTTCAACATTTTTTTTTTCAAGAAAAAAGTAAGGCATAATAAGACAATGCCCTGAACTATTTCATATAAAATTATTTTTATTTCTAGCACGGTAAGACCGTATCAAAAATACTTAACATATATCTACAGTTGCATATTTAAAATCACAATAAATCATCTTGGCTATGTTCGGTGAGACTGTGCCTCACTTGATTCTCCTATACAAAAGCATTAGGCCACCAAATTGGCAACTATTATGTAGCATGGTAAATACCCAAGGTGGCAGCATTGCTATGCCGAGGCATGGAAGCTATATGGCCTAAGCCATGAATGAAATAAAGGAAGCAACCCAATAAAAGCTTTTTTACCCAAAAGCTGGTGAGGCACTGCCTCGAGTTCCTCAATGGAAGAACCGCCGCTGCAGACATGAAACACGGCGATCATTATTACGAATTCGAAAGAAAACGGCTCAGGATTAGTGTTCTGAAAAAAATTATAAGTCAGTTGCGGAAACAATAAACTCAGGTCAGGGTAAGGTCAGGTCAGGCCAGGTAACGGAAGGCTACTTCTGCTATGTGGGTATGCGACACAATGTGATTCAGATGTTTTTCTTAGCGCCAGATCCGATGGTCATGGTTATATCTCTCTCAAGCTTACTGGCCCAAAGACTCACGAGAATGTTCATATTTTCAATTTCATGTCATAAAATGGGTGTCCCAAAAGACCTGCGTCGTCCTTTTCCCACGATTTGCGCCTCTGCCGTTGTTATAATCGCGGTGTCGATGAGCTTCTTGTTGCATGGATATACAGCACTGTTTCCCATTCAAATTCCTCGCGAATGTTGCAAGGGCACATGACTGACCTTGCTTACCGCGACTGTCGGCTGGCCCCGGGTCAGTCGCACATGACATGCAGGTCACCAAACGGGTCACACGCGACCAGAGAAAAGGCGCTCACGCGCTTTTTGATTGCTGAACGTGGTTGTGACTTAGCAGGATGTTGCAGAACATTTTGAAGTTTGACTTCAAAATGTTCTGCAACATTCTGTTCTGCAACCGCAAAAGCACAATCATGCAAAAGACAAAAACGGCAAAAATTAAGCGAGAAGAGTCTGTCTTAGAACTACGGCAGAGGTCAGACTGGTTCCGTTAAACGGTCGATTTCGGCGAAAATTTAACATCAACTGCCATGTATTGAAACAGCCAAACATCCTATGAAGTTCATGATATGAGACGAAATGAGAGCACATGGTCTTACCAGGTTTTCCGTAGCATCCCTAAAGCAGATGATGCCCCAAATCGATATTCAGGCCTGACATGGTTTCGAAAAGGGTCTCAGGTCAAAGGTCACTTGGTCAGGATTATGATATTCCTGGAGATGTAAAATTGATTTTTTTAGGGCAATGAAAACATTGTCACGATTCGTCGCTTTTAACGCGAGTTATTCGTGAAAAAAAAAAAATCCGTTAACACCCTCCCCCCAAGCACGAGGGTTGGCCTTTGCCCCGGGAAGGGCGTTTAGGCATGAATGATGGGATAATGTTTGTCACAGGGCAGAGGAGCCCATTGTTTTGGTGACTTTGACTCTGGCTTAAAAAAAACGCCTTTGGCTCAGAATTCCACTCCAGCTCCGACTCTAAGTCCATATCATGACAGTAAAGTTGATGTTGGAGACCTTTTACCTCACCTGAAATAATCCCTTGCGCGTTCCAGGGACTTACATTGCCAATAGTTACACCTCATAAATAGCATGCAGAACTTACAGCAGATCAGCCCCAGCAGCCGTACCTACAAAGGCGTACCTACCTGTACGCCTTTTTGCTCAAACCCCTCAAGTAAAACGTGAGTATGACCTAAGCTCGGAAAAATAGTTTTGGAGAGGTCAAAGAGCATAATATTTTCAAGCAAACAATCATAGAGCATAACGTTGCGCTATGCAATGTTAACTCCGACTCCCAGTGTCCCAAAAATATATTTTGGATTGGGTGTCGGAGGGGAATATTCGCCACTACAAAGAGGGCTGAGAGTGGAAAATTGCCAGTCAGGAAGGCACAAAAAGAGCGGAAAACAGAGATCAACAATTTATTTGTGAATGTTGGGGAGGGTGTGGGAGCTGCGTTATAGGATGATTGATTAAATAAAATATAGAGGGAGGTAAAAGGTACACGCAGATGCTCCTGATTGGTAAAACAGGGAGTGAAAAATCGCTCTGGAAAATTGGAGGTGAGAGTGGAAAATTATTTTGATTTGGGTGTGGCTTCCCACCCAAATTGGCAAATTTTGGGACACTGCCGACTCCAGAGTCGGAGACTGTACAATACAATACAATACAATACGGATGGCGAAAAAAAGAGTCGGAGACTGTGATATTTTGGCGACTCCGAATTCAACTCCTCGCAAAACTATAGACTCCGATTCCACCGTCCTGGTTGTCCACTGTTTCCAGGTTTTCAACGTGTGAATTTTGATCCCTGGTCCTCTACCCGTTTCATACGGCGGTTTCATTTGAATTCGCCATGATGGGCCGGGGGGCGAGATTTTATCGCACACTGTAAAATCTTAATATCTTAAAGAAAAAACAAGAGGGGAAAAAGCGAAAAATATATTCCCTCCAACAGAAAGTACCTACCTACTTCGAAAGGAGACCCCATCGTCGCTTAGGTTCATGCTGATGTCAATGGAGGTAAAAAAAAGTTAAAATTTTCCAATCAAATTTTCACGATTGACCCTTTTCACCAATCGGAGCATAGCTCGTGAACCAGAAGTGCTACAACGTCGCAGAAAAGTGAAATCGATGGCTCTTCCAAAGCTGCTTCACCAGCGTGCCTTCATATTTGACCTGAGGTCAGTAGTTTGAGGCTCAGACGTCTGAAACTTTCAAAATAGGCCGACTTTGCACATTGCAGACGTTTTTTTTTCTGCAATAACTTTAGAACCAGTAAAACGCCTTTTGGGGCGACTAACGGAGCGACCGAGAGGGGGTGAGCCTTGCACGTGCGAAATTTCGAAGGGTACTTAAAACTGACTTGTGCATGGCACCCTACTAACTGGTCCCTAACCGTGTATCAAATTTGAGCGCCATCGCTCCAGCCGTTCTCGAGATCTGGAAACGACCCCTGCGCGTGCTGACGTGCAGCAGCACCCCAACTCTGGCACATGGAAATGCATCGCCTAGTGGGTGCCTACCTACCTACCAACTTTCAGTGCAATCGGCCCAGTAGTTACAGATATGTTGCAATTGTTACACAAAACTGACACCTCTTCGTTTTGCACGTGGCACGTGCATAAGGGGTCACCCACATGTATCCAAAGTCAAATACTTGGTAGAAGGAGTGAAGCTACCCTACAAAAACTACCGCAAGTAAATCGGTCAAGTGGTTGCTGAGCTTCGCAAAAGCATGACCACGGCCGCTCATACTCAGAAATTTCTGCTATTCTGCGTAAAGACTTCGCTCGCTCCGCTCGCTCCATAATCAATAAATGTATAGCATTTCTTTTACCATCACAATTTCTCTCATCAAGACGCGTCGAAGAGACTACAAATCGATGTTAACCCGACAGGCGGTGGGCCTCCCCGCCACCTTCCGCGCGGTGGGGTGGGGGGGGGGGAATTTTTCTTGTCCCCCCCGTATCTCCGAAACTACTGGACAGATCCGTAAAATTCAAAAAGCGTTAGATAGCCCTGTCAAATTTGCCACAGAAAATCAAATTTTATTGATCTAGAGGTCACCGATTACGTCACAGGTCAGGTCAAAGATAAAATGTTTCACCGTTCACGGGTCTTCTAGGGAATGCGCTGTAACACCGAGTAAAACGCATTTTGTCGAAAATCAGCGATAAGGCGTCAGTTACCTAGTACATATGTTGCTATTAGTGGTCACTGATAATACCAGGTCAGGTCACAGGTCAGGTCACCAAGGGTCAGCACATGAACCCAACTTTACTAAGGTTGTGTGATGCATGTTTTATGGCCAATTTTTCATTTCCAACTTGATGGTGTTGATTATAAGACCATCAGGTACGGCTTAGGTCACTTTCTGGTGGAGGTCAGGTCAAGGTCAGGTAAAAAAGGTCAAATTTCAAATTTGATAGTTTTGCATAAAATGGGTATTGATTGGATGCAGCTCGTCACGGGGAGACTAATGGTGGTTTTGTTTTGCGCTAGGAGGTCTAGCATTGCTAAAAACTGAGTTTGAAAATTTGACGTCATCAGTTTTGAACATTTTTTTTTTCAGCTATAAGTTGGCCAAAAAAGTGGTATAGATCTGAAATTTGGTATGTGGATAGAAGGCGGTAGGGACTATCACATATATTCCGGTTTTTCGAAATTCAAAAAACTTTTTGGATTTTTCGGCTATTATATTCAAAAAATCTATTTTAATTTTTGGGAGTCAAAATCCTAAAATTTCAAAAATACGATATAGCAGTTTCATAGCCCTGTTAATTCTACACCTTTTTTATCGAAAACATTTTTCTGCATCTCTAAAGATGTAGGCCTGACAGCTCTTCCCGCGGAACCTTTTTTTGGGTCGAAAATGGCAGAAATGACGTCACTCCGACGTCATTAGCGGCCAGCCTATCATAGCCTTTGGAAAATTTTTTGTCACAATGTGCAAAAGCTATTCACGAGAAGGTACTGAAAGTTTGGTGACGATCCGGATCGGCGCAGCGGTTCTGGAGATATATCGAGAAAAAAACTAAAGGGGGGGGGCAAAAAATGCCCCCCCCCCCCGACCGCCTGGAAGGTTAAGTTTAATTTTCATAGGTAAGATGTAGATTGTAGGGCGCCGGCGGGGGCGGGTCTGGAGCTCCACGGAGGTGGCTAACAAGTAACAACTCAACTCACCCCAGCCGAGGAGGCGGCCCACAGCTCTACCCGGCCGGGGAGGTGGCCTACAGCTCTGCCAGGTCCAATTTAACCATTCCTGTTGCGGACGGCCATGACATAATGAGTCGTTCCGGTCTGGTCAGAGAGCTTGAAAAATCATACTTTTACATAAAATGATGGAATGTCAATGAGAAACGATACCTGTAAGCAACTTACTTTTACCGGCATCGTGACCCTCTCGTCAAGATGCAGCGAATGAACTATAATTTGACCTTAAGAGGTAAACTTGAAAATTTGACCTCAGGTCATAACCAGAAAAGGCCATGTTGCATATCAGTCGATCCCTATCGTCGAGCTGAACTCATCTAAGGCATTTTCATCGCTCTAGCATGCCTCTATCAAAATGTGTTCACCAAAAACTGTTCGACACCATTTGTGACCTGACATGACCTCAGGGGCATAAAATGGGTCATGAGTGCCATTTTCATGTTCAGTGTGCAAAATTTACTTGTATTTGAGTGTTTGAGAGTGTTCAGAATGATGTTCGTCCAAAAGAGGCGTCTTTCACCTTTCTCCGGACTCCGGTTGACTTGTAATGGAGAGGTCCCAAAATTGATCTGACCTTAGGTCACCGATATCGAAACTCCAAGACATACATTTTGTACATACTGTTGCTCTTAGCAATCGCTGCATGTTTCAAAGCGATCGGTCTTTCAGTGTAGCTATGACAAACATTGAAACATTTTATGAGGTCAGGTTACTTCAAGTGACCTGGTGACCTGACCTTGAATGACCTTGGTCTGAAATTTTCACAACATGTGCAGAAAAGATGCATGATAAGGTGTGCCAAAAACGGCGCTGCCGTTTTTAAGACATTCGCGAAAAAACCACAGGGGGTGTTCAAACATCCCCCTCCAAGACACAAGTCGACCAATAAGGGTTAAGTACCTGTAAGGTACCTAGGTGTAAGGTTAGGTCAGGTGTAAGGCAAGCTGCAATGTTTTTCTCATCACATATTTGTGAAATTATGAGTTTTTTGTAAATAAAAAACAAAACCATCTTGGTATTGTCATCATAGTTGATTGATGCTTTTCTCAGTACAAAACAATCAAACCTAGCCTAAACTTACACCTACTTGCCACCTACCAAGCACCTACCTTGCAGTCACACCAAGCAAGGTAGGTACCTACCTTGATGAAAGATAAACCAGGGTAGGGTAGCTGGTAATTCTGGTGGTAACTCAGGAATTGTTAAAGTGGTTCTGGTTAGGTTTGTAATTCTGCTGATAAAATCTTAAGATTCATAATTCCTTCCAAGCATACTACCTTGCTCAAAAGGATAACCTTTTTTCAATACTTGGTTTGAGGGCTTGTTAATCTTTGACAAAGCCACCTGTCCCAAACCACCTGTGTTGCAAACATATCAGTTAAGGCATAAATGGCATAAAAAAATTTCCATTAATTCTCCACAAAAATATCTGATCCCCTTTTGTGACTTCCCTGCTACCTACCCATACTATTTGATTTTTCATGCAGCTGTACCTTTTAAACAAACAACACTAGCCAGAACACCTTGCAAAGGTTGCTCAGAGCCCAGAGGTCATGTATGTCCCTAATATTCATTAAGAATTACATTTTGATTCAGAATTAGTTCACTTAGAATTAAGTCCACAATAAAAACATCTCACCAGTCACCATTCACCTCAACTATAAGTTAAGGTGATTGGTGACAAATAACAAGAACGTGCCTATTTCACACTGATCAGCTTTGAGTCAGTACGCAGACACCAAAATATTAATGTAGATTCATGACCTTTCCAAAACACGAGCATGAGCTGAATCTTTGGGACATCTTAATATATTCCTGCCCGGGGCCGGGATGATTCAACAAATGTCACCGAGGTTTTTTAGCGAAAACTCCGAGGGCCGTTAGGCCCGAGGTGCTTTTCGCTAAAAAAGCGAGGTGACATTTATTGAATTCTCGGCCTTAGGGCTGGAAGGTGTTTCCCATACCTGCCAAAAAGCTCACAACTATAATTGATAGTGACGTCAGCAGCCGTGTGGTTCAACGCGTTTAACCACACCCCTTGAACCACACGGCTGGCAATTTTAAAGCACTGCATTAAACTGAAAAGTGTGGTACAGTGCACGTGCCATTAAAATGCCTGGATGTCTCGATTTAATCATGCAATGTAGCAGGTATGGGAAAGCTTCAGGCTACACCAGCAATTGGTGGTATATGTTCACAGTATATGTGAGGATGGTGTCCAAGTGGTAGGTTGTTGGTTGGTAGGATGTTGGTTGGTGGGTTGACAGTTGGTAGGTTTTAGGTGGGAAGGTTGAATGGATGTAGGTTGTTGGTAAAGTTAGGTCAGGTTAGATTATGTTTTTTATCTACTTGGACTTCATCTTCACATTTACAGTTGACTCCTCCAATTATTGGTTTGACCTGGATTTATGGGTATAAGTAAGCCTGGTGTACCAGGAAGATGCCAGATCTGCCGTATAAAGGCAAAACCCATTATGTTCGGTTGACCTCTGAGTTGACCTGAGGGAATGGACCCTGACCCAACATTTTCGCCTTTGCATGGCAGAGATTGGGAGGACTGAACTAGTAGGTAGCGTTGTAGGTAGTCATTGCAGGTTTGTAGGGTAGGTTGTAGGTAAGGTTAGGTTAGGTTAGGTTTGTGTCTCCGTTGTGTCGTTTCAATCTGGCATCTTCCTGGGATGCCAGGCTTACTAATACCAATTAAGTTTCTGTCTTTCATGATTAATAAATTACCTAGAAGCACTATCTCTTATATTACTTTCATTGTACATATATAACTATGCCATCACTGAGTATCTTTACATTCATCACTAACAGAAGATCACACAGCTAAAAATTCATAATCCTCAGCCTTACCTTGCGATGATGATGAATCACTATGACAAATCACTTTTTAGCAGTGTCCCAAAAATATATTTTCAGTTGGGTGCCAGAGGAAAAAAAATTCTCACCCAAAAAGGGATGAAAGTGAAATTGCAGGTTAGGTGGGCCCATAAAAGGTGGAAAAAGGATCAAAATCATGAATTTATATACAGGAGCAATAGATTGTGGGATGAAAAAGGTCATTCTCGCAAATGCTTTGTCTCTGCAAAATGAGTTAAAAAAGCTATAAAAAGTGGGAGTGAGAGTGGAAAACAATTCTCGGTATTAGTATATATTAGGTCCGAGTGGACAATTGTAACGCTGTTGATACAAATATGTAACAGCAAAAATTTTAGGTTTTAGGTTAGGTTAGGTTGTAGGTTTGTAGGTTTTAGGTTTTAGGTTGTAGGTTAGGTTAGGTTAGGTTGTAGGTTTGTAGGTTTGTAGGTTGCAGGTTGGTAGGTTGTAGGTAAGTAAGTAATGTTAGGTCAGGTTTGATTATGTTTTTCTTTTATTTCCAGGACATATAAGTATCATTTTTGAATTCAGGATGTCAAATAATGTAAGAATATGAAAAGTTTATCTTTTAACAGTCACTCGGACTTAATGTATACTTTTACCCAATTCTCATTTGGATGTCGTTTACCACCCAGAGTTACAAAGTTTGGGACACTGGTTTTTAACCCGGCGGCCGCTGGGCCTCCGCGCCACCCGCCGGCCGCTGGGGGGGGGGGCATAAAGTTGCCCCCCCTTTACTTCTGCGACGATATCGTCGCAACGCGAAGAGATAGAGAAGCGAAACTTTGCACACACCTTCCTGAATACCTAGCCGAGGTTTTGTCCAAATTTGGTGTCGATCCCATTTGAAATGACGTCACAGTGACGTCATAAGTGAAATTATAGATTTGCGACTCATATTCCTCACGATACATCAGATATATGGGACCGAATATAAAGGGCCGATTATTGGTCAGAAACTAGATGGAAGTGTAGTAAGATATTTTAGGATGACAGCAGGTGCTGTCTAGTTCATTTACAGTCGAGTTTCATGCTCAGGGTCATCAGAAACGGTCCATATCGGAAAACGACAAAACTTTATGACGTCACTGTGACGTCATCTTAGGTGCTACAACCACCAAACTTTCCTCAAACATTGCTTAGGTATTCATTTGAAGCTATGCCAAGTTTCACGTTCGTAGCTCATCAGGTTTCAGAGATATTTCACAAAACGTAAAGGGGGGGCAACTTTATGCCCCCCCCCCCCCAGCGGCTCGTGGGTTAAAGGGAGATCATAGGTACCACGGAGCACCAACCTTGGGCTGGCAGCAGTGGCGGATCCAGCTCACAGTTTTTCGGGGGGGCAAACCATAACAATTTATCGATTCTTTCCATGCCTCTTCGATAGGTGTTATGTTATAATTATGCCGTTTGGGAGGGGCAAATGCCCATTTTGCCCCCCCCCCCCTGGATCCGCCACTGGCTGGCAGTGTAGCGCCAGCAATGCATTGACTGAGATGAACATAAAAACGCGAACGAAAACCCTAAAGAAATTGAAAAACAGTAACTAATGGGATTTCATGCCAGTGTAGCATATATTTAAAGCATGGTGACAAGGGACAACTTCTGCAAGCCCAATGCGGTGCGCACCACACCTCATCGTCCACGAGCTCCTGGAAGACTCACCGAGCTTATAAACGCAGTCAAACGAAACGTAACAGCAATTCAAACCTTATCATCAAGAAAATTGCGAACGATTCAAGCTCTAACACTGCGCCCATTTTCAGCAATTCATTTCCATTCTATCTCTTGCACAGCAATAACAAGAATCACCATTTTCGAGTAACTGTGATGGACAACAGTACTTACCTTTGTTTATCCGTTGTTTGAGTACTTACTTCTTTTGTGCTGTTTTTGGTACAAGTCTTTAAAACATTGATATTTCCTCACAAATATGTCATTAAAATAGTAACAACATTCAATATACCTAAACAGGCATATTTATATAAAAAATAACACAAGTACTCTTACTTGTTTCGAAGGACCATTAGACGCGTTTACATAGGGTTTGTTGCAAGCTTATTTCTCCGTCCGTGATGTTGCAAAAGATGCCAATGGTGCTTAACAATTTACAAAATGATCCCCTCTAAATATTTGAAGATCACTGCATCGAAATTATCGCCAAATTAACAAGCTAGAGCCTCGTCAAAAATGCTATGTAAACCGGGTTATTGACCTCGCTTCCAGCTCTAGCTTTCGTGATATAGAGATGGGATATAGAAAGGTAATTTTGGAATAAAGCCTCAGCTGTTCAGTTTCCGAGCCCTCATCGAATGTTCATGCTTTTTCTAATTTCAATAAACCTAACAATAATCTTGAAGATTACGTATTTGAAAATTCTGCTGTCTTCCAAAAAACGACAAACAGCATACTTGGACATCATAGGACATTCTCAGCACTAGAGCCGCCACTTTTTAATTGAATCACTCGTGTGCGTAGGAAAGTGGTAGGAAGTTAGCGTACACAGGTCTCGCGGGTTTTAACCCTATTCCTGGCGGGGGGGGGGCCTCAGGAGCCCCCCCCCTGAGGTTTTTTGGTTATTTCTCCCAAACGCGTTGAGCTAGGAAGCTCAAATTTGCTGACTTTTCCTAAAAGGCTTCTACGCAACATGTCTGAAAATTTTAAGTTGATCTGACCTCAGGTCAGGTCACCAGAGGCGGTTTGGTGACCCTACCTCAAAAAAGTTTGCAATCACGCCAGAGCTAGATTTTTTGACCGATCAATTTCTTCTCTTCAGGCTTTAGTTAGGGTAACAGTATGTGCAATTTGTATATCTCGGAATTTTGATATCGGTGACCTAAGGTCAGGTCAGTTTCGCGACCTCCCCATTATAAGTCAATGGGGGAAAAATCAACTCCCTGTTTTTACCACTAAAACGGGTCGAAATGGCCCCATATACCATACATGACTTCATATACGATCAACCTTCACTACCTTGAGGTCTGTTTTGCTGTTGGGCAGCTGTGAGGTCATGTGACGTCATCAAAGGTCACCAAAGGTTTTTGGCCAATAACTCCGTACAGGAACAAGATACAGACGCGTGAATGGTCTCATTGTGTTCAGCTCGTCAAGACGCATCGAATGATATACATGATGACCTCGAGGTCACGTGACCTGAGGTCAACCTTTGACCTTGACCTTTCGAGGTCAACATATATATCATTCGATGCGGATTGACGAGAGGATCACGATGATGCCCTTAGTTTGTTCCTATCTTGACTAATTCGAAAGTTATTCGAGAAAAACTCTCTCCATATCTAGCGTCGCCATTTTGACTTTTTCGACCCCTGTGACGTCATCTTTGACCTGACCTGAAAATGACCTTAGTAAAAATTGTAGATCTTGACCGTGCGTATCCGATGCCGTTTACCGTTTGTCGCTATCTTGCTTCGTTCTCGAGATCTCAGGGGGGGGGCCGAATCGGCCCCCCCCCGCCAGTTTCTTGTCCCGGCGGAGCCCGCCAGGAATAGGGTTAAGGGTAGGTCAGGGTTACTTTTACAGGGGGCATTCCACGATGTACCACTTTTTTCCAATTTGACACCCTCATCTCTCGGAATTTGACGAGAATTGGTCTCAGGGGTAATCAGGGGGTAATCCACCTGTGACAATTTCAGGCTTATCAGATCAGCCTATTTTTTTAGTTATGGTGTACCCAGCAAACAATTTGCCGTTGTTACAGCGTCGTTTAACCCTCGCCCGTATTGGTGTTTTTCCAGCCGCGAACGTATAAGAGGGGGGGGGGAGGTCCGTTGGACCCCCCCTTGCCGTTTCGCCCCTGATTGAGCTAGAGCTTCGCGGAAAAAACGAGCGTGTTGCCCGTGACGAGAGGACGCCGATGATACCTAATTCTAAGGTCCTAGGTCATTGGTTGACCTTGCAGGTCAGGTCAATGACCCAAAAGTCGGAAAATCGGGACCTGTTAGAACGTCGTAAAGTGTGGCTGCTATGTAGTTTTTCCGGGCGCTGATCACGAATATCATGTTAGTTTTGATCACAGATGATGTCTTTATGCATTTAGTCGAGGTCGGGTCAGGTCAGGTCAGGTCAACCAGTAGGGGTCCTGCCGGGTATTCCTAGTAGGTGTCAACCGCCTCTGACAGCTTCGTAACATGTTACGAAGGCACCAAAACTACTTCGTAAATGTTCATATGGTTGCTAAATTCGAATTCAGCTCCAAAAACTGGCCTAGAAACATGTAAAACTCGAAAAAGTGAACCGAGGTCACCAAAGGTCAATGACCTGACCTGACCTTCAGGTGACCTTGACACCCACCCTAATGCATGGGGGCAACATCATATCACATGTTTGAACGCTTGAAACCACGAAAAGACTGCAAACGCGTGGCTAATGCGAGCCGACATACGCCGAATCGCGATTCCGGCCAAACATGGTCTCGAAAAGTAGGTCACAGGTCAAAGGTCATTGGGGTCAGGGTCATGAAATTTTCAGGGTAGGTGTAAAATTGATTAACGCGAGGGTACTGAAAGTTTCGTCGCGATCGGCCGCTTTTTACGCGAGTTATTCGCGAAAAACCATGGGGGGTCCGTTCGACCCCCCCCCCCCTATACGGGCGAGGGTTAAACGTTGTCAAATCGTTACCACAACGTTCCAATTTATCGTTGTGACAACGAAATTTTGTAGACTCCAGACAACAGCGTGACAACGTCATCCGACCATGCATTTGAATGTCATCACAACGAATTTCTGTAACGTGGCCGTGACGTCCCAAAATCGTTCTTACAACGTCCCGCCAACGTTATGAAATGTTTTCTGTAACGTGCCAACGGTGTTTCTGGAACGTTGTCACCACGTTTCCACAACGTGACTACAACGAGTATATAGAACGCTTTGGCAACGTCTCTGCGACGTTTCTGAACGTTTTTATCACGTGCGCACCACGTTGTCGCTACTTCGTATTGCCGTCCCTGCGACCCTGAGTAAACGATTTTCGCAACGTCCTCTCAACGTGTTCGCAACATACTCAGAATGTGTTTCCGACGCTCTCTTCCCGTTCTCTAGACTTGTAAAAAAGGCATGTAATGTAAGAAGTGTATATTTCAGTACATCACACAGGTCAATTTACAACAACAACAAAAAAAAAAACGACAGCGGTGGCATCGGTGATGGGGCATGGGGCCCAGGGGCGCCCCCATGGGGGCGTGGGACGGAATTGGGTTCTACCGGATTTAGCGCTAGCCGTTAGCACGCCAGAACTGGTGGAAGTTCACTTCTTCACTAACCCTCGCTCAGGGGCGGCGGATTCGGGGGGGGGGGCAGGGGGGCAGCTGCCCGCCCCCGGCAAACTCGTGGGGGGGGGGGCAAAAGTATCTTTTTGCCCCCCCCCCATACCTAATTTGTGACAAAGCTTAGACAAGAAACCATGTAGGTACCTGATTATTCTGTTCGATCATCTGAAGATGTAACCAGATGCCCATATACTTTATCATACGTTGCCTTTCTTAAATGGCAAGCGTTCACGTTCAATTGAAGTTTTCCTCTCTTCAACCTAGTTTTGGAGGCATTATAAGCGTCAACGTGACGCAGCGGAAACCCAGGCCTTCAGTGACCGCTTATCAGGGGCGACGGATACGGGGTGGCAAAGGAGGCATCGTTCCCTAAGAAACTTTTGGAGGAGGGGCAAACGTATATTCTTGCCCCTCCATAATTTGTGCCCTAAACATGAGGAAAATTTCCATAACCTGATATTGCAGCTATGCACTCCTACAGTTTGTCCAACGGTGCCTTTGAATATGTGTAAATGCTAACCATTTCCGCTTTATATCATTTTGTTTTTGTCTTTTCAGATTCGATTTCTAGATGTGTGCAAGAGACGTAACTCATACCTTCAGTGGTCGTTTGCCTCTATTTTGTACCTGCATAAATGCCAAATCGCAAGCGAGCGGAGACGGAAGGGCTAGCCATTCGCTTGCGGGTATACCCGCAAGCGAATATAGTCCTAACTATAGTAAGGACTGATGAGCGCTCATAATAAGCCACTGGCCCCTGATTTTTTCGAGCGCAATGGTTTCCAGCGCATAAAATATGTCCGTGAAGTTAGCGTCAGCAACAGCAACGAATACAGCGTCGGATTCAGAATCCGGCTTAAAAACTGTCAGCAGGTCAATTGGGGGACGGGGAACACGAATATGACATTTATTTTGCCCTAGCTCCCTTTCTTCATCCCTTAACCGTCCCTTAAAGGACGGGGCGCGTCAAAAGTGCCCCAAGGCTTCGTCTGATCGCCAAAATAATGGTCGCAATCGATTCCTCGGGTCAATATCTAACCTCAGTCGAAGGTTCCAGACATGTGGCTCCTATCCCTCATCCCTTAATCGTCCCTTAAAGGACGGGACGCGTCAAAAGTGCCCCAAGGCTTCGTCTGATCGCCAAAATAATGGTCGCAATCGATTCCTTGGGTCAATATCTAACCTCAATCGAAGGTTCCAGACCTGTGCCTCCTATCCCTCATCCCTTAATCGTCCCTTAAAGGACGGGGCGCGTCAAAAGTGCCCCAAGGCTTCGTCTAATCGCCAAAATAATGGTCGCAATCGATTCCTTGGGTCAATATCTAACCTCAGTCGAAGGTTCCAGACCTGTGCCTCCTATCCCTCATCCCTTAATCGTCCCTTAAAGGACGGGGCGCGTCAAAAGTGCCCCAAGGCTTCGTCTGATCGCCAAAATAATGGTCGCAATCGATTCCTTGGGTCAATATCTAACCTCAGTCGCAGGTTCCAGACCTGTTGCCACTATCTCTCATCC